TTTTACTTAGGATGCTGTCCTGACTCCATCATCATATAGCTGGAAAATCAAGTATTATACACACATTTACAATGCCAGCAACTTATTCTGAAAATCCAAACTAAAAAAACAAAAAACAAAAAACAACTAAAGACTAAACGAGCCTTCACTTGCTCCCTAACTCCATCCTTGAGAGACTAAGGAGGAAGCACAGTACATGTGGGTGATGCACCAGGAGTGGGGCCTGTGAATGTGAGAAAGATTTAAACTGTCTGACAATTCAGAGACGGAAGACAGCCCTAATGTACAGATAAAACCCAAGTGAAAACAGTCCATCACGCTGCTGGCAGGCAGTGGCACTGACTCGCTGGAGACAAATCTGGATCTACTTAAAATGTCAGGTGAGCCAAGTAATGAGTCTTCACTAAGTAGGCCCCAGCAGAAGGAGCCTTCATGGTCCGCTTGGCAGTTGAGTATATATTACTGCAAGCCTGTTAAATAAATGAGTATTTAATACCTATTGGATTACAAAGAAACCCACTTACTCTAACAAGATCTACTTCGTTTTTTTAGGGAGAAAAGATAAAATGTTATCGTCACAAATGAGATGCTTCTTACAGCAAACAGAACTCAACACTGTGATGAGTGTTATAAAATATTTAAATTATCCAAGCATGTTTATGAGAAACGTAATTTTCCAGAAGGAAATGGAGTGGCTTGTGATGTTTCCATTGGCCAGAGAGAGAGAACCTGTGCTTGCTATTTGAAATCCTAGAATCTCTGAGTGGAAAGAGACCTAAGCCAGCTCATCAGTCTAGCCCAGCTTCAGAGAAAACAAACAAAAAACAGGAAAAATACATGGTAGAACAGGTCCCAAAATGCTGAGAAGAAATGGAAGTCAAACATTTATTCAGCCATGTTTTTATCTAAAATTTTTTGGAAAACAGACATTTTCCAGGGCTTAAAGATGAACAATGGATTTAATTGCATCATTGGATGTTAATTGTAAATGGGTAGCAATTTAAAAAACAATTTAAAGTATTTTCAACTTTATTTTTTATTAATTTTAGAGGGAAACAAAGCACAAAGACAATGACTTCTTATAAATAACATTCTTAAACATTAAGTTTATTCTTCGGTTCTTTGTTGTACTATTAATATAGCTTTTTACCAAAATAAAATAAAATAAAAATCCAAAATATTCCTTGCTAAACAACTCCATTATACAATACCAATTTAGATTGTCTTAAAAAAAAAAAAAAAAGTACAGGAAGAAATTGTTTTTTAAAGCATGTCAACAATGATTTTTCCCTTTTATGAAACATCTGCTCAAAATGAAAATATATTGAAGAGAAGCAATTGTCAGTTCAATTAATTACAAGAATATCAATTCACAATGTTAAAATAGACATTAATAAAATGCAATGTTTTGCAATTATGTCTATGTTGCATACTTACGTGCCCTGTCAACACACACATATGTATACATTATGTTTATCTTTAACCCTATTATCTTAACTTTGATAGTCACAGTACGAGTTATAAAAATCTGTGTACTGAAAAGTTGAGACTAATTAATTGGTTAAATTTTAGTTAGCAATGGACTTTCTTTTAAAAGGGTATCATATAATTTAATAAAGAAAGCAAACAATTCTAGGGAATATAGTCTTAAGTAAATTTGAGTAGTGGGAAAGAGGGAAGAAAGAAAAGAAAGAAGGAGGGAGGGAAGGAAGGTAGGAAAGGGGAGGAGGGAGAGAAGGAGGCAAAGTAAGGGAGGGAGGGAATGACTCGAACACACAGGCTGGCCAGTATCAAGTATAATAAGTATATAAAGACAAAAAAAGTTGAATTGCTAATTCATGCTCAGCCTCTCTTGGCTACTGCTGGGGAATGGACAATTTGGACAGTAATGGAAGAGACCTATGCGCTCCCTAAAATTTTTAGCACAACCAATTAGTGTGATAGGAGGCTTTTGCTACTGTAGACGAGCAGCTTTAAGAAGCAGAGAAAAATCTCACCACCTTTTTAAGGAGATAAGGATGACACATTCTTCATTATAAATTGCTCTGGGCGCTTTGGGTTCCATGGGCATAGTAACTGGTAAAAAATGAACTATAACTATATATAAAACATAAATAAATTAGTGGAATTCATATCTTAAAAGATACTTGATTTACATTAAAAGTCCCATTTTTAAATTGTGCTTATTTCTCCCATTAAGATCAGGTACAGGCAGGATGTCATGTGTCTGCATTGCTTTTCCTCAAGAACTGAATGGTGCAGGGACGTGTGCGCTTCTGGTGAATGTCTGTGCAGAGCCGGGCAGGGGGATTGGTGCCTGGACATCACCACTTGTCTACTCTGGGTATGGATTCATGGATTCCGTATAGTGAAGCACTTCCATAGAAGAGGAGCTATTTTAAGTCCTCTGCGAGCCACGTAGAGGGCGCTAGAAGCCAAGAGTCAGCCCTTTCTCCTATCAGCTCAACCGATAAAAGATGGATGTTGATGGGGTGTCAGAGGTGTTGCCTCAGAAGCCTGGGACGATAGAAAAGACAGTAAGAAGCATGCATGAAGGCTGCAGTCTTTACCATTTGTGTATGGTCTGCTCTTCCCTCAGGAGTTAGAGCCCGGTGAAGTGGAAGGAGCAGCTATGTTTGCAGGCGTCTGGCGCCAGTCGCAGGATAACCTTACTGTGTGTTTATCAGTGGCTCCAAATTTGGCTTTTCAAAATGCCAGGGTTTTAGAAGAGCTTCAGATCTTCAGAAAATATTGGGATTTAAGGGGAAAAAAGTCTTTTGAACACACCTAGAACTATAAACCAGTGATGGCGAACCTTTTGAGCTCGGCGTGTCAGCATTTTGAAAAACTCTAACTTAACTCTGGTGCCGTGTCACATACAGACATTTTTTGATATTTGCAACCATAGTAAAACAAAGACTTATATTTTTGATATTTATTTTATATATTTAAATGCCATTTAACAAAGAAAAATCAACCACAAAAATGAGTTCGTGTTTCACCTGACACGCGTGTCATAGGTTCGCCATCACTGCTATAAACTACCATAAAGAAGGTTTTAGATCGCTATCTGCACAGTCTTTCCTAGCTTTCCCCCTTTACATCTAAGAGGAGTATTTAACAAAAAGCACTTTTTAAAAATGACAGTTTTCTAAGTAACAAGCTACAAAATAGCAGTCACTTCACCCAATTAGAAAGCTTCCAAAGATCAACTCCCCTGGTAGTTCATATTTCCTCAAACTGTCCTCTTACCACTGTACCCCTAAGAGAGAAGGTCATGCTTAAAAAACATGTACATTTGGCAAATCATCCAGGCTTTCCAAGGGCAGGCAGGCCTTCCTCTCCCTAATTGGCAGTGTTTTCTTTAGGGGACCACTCCCGAAAGGTCTCTGACATACACAGAAACCCTCTCCCTCCTTTAAAAATCTCTTGGGAATTTACAGATTTTTCAAAAACCTATTAAGAGTGGAACGCGGAGAAATTTTAGGACAGTAAAACTACTGTGTACAACGCTATAATGTCATTATACGTTTGTCCAAGTCCATAGAATGTGCTGCACCAGGAGTGAACTGTAATGTAAACTGGGTGATGGTGATGTATCAGGATAGGTTCCTCTGTTGTAACAAAGGTACCACTTTGGTCAGGGATGTTGATAACAGGGGAAGCGGTGCATGTTTGGGGCCAGGGGGTCTATGAGAAATCTCTATACCTTCAACTTCTTTTGCAGTGAACCTAAAACTGCTCCAAAAACACCAAAGCCTAAAAAAAAAAATAGAAAAGAAAAAAACCTCTAGTAAGGAGATTCACATGTGTTATCTTGGTCTTTACTTAACCAATAAAGGCCAGTACAAATAAAATATTATTATTGGTCATTACTAATGAAGGAGATAACAAATCAACATCTTCTAAACTAGGGAGCAATTTAGAATCTCTAACATTATGCAGCAGGTGATTCAGACATAACAATACTAGGCACAGAATAAAAATGACTTGCTTTGCTTGGTTTTAAAGAAACTGCTAAGATGTGAAAAGGGCAAATCAGTTCCATTCATTTTTGTTCACCTTGTAAATAAATGGGTTGGCTCATGGCCTGAAATTTGAATTCTTGGGAGAGCCATTTATATCTTCAAATAAATGGGTTCAATATTCTAACATACATCAATGGTTAAAATTTAATATTAGTTTACTATAGTTGAGTTGATCTTTTTAAAAAAAAAAAAAAATCAACCTTTGGGAAGAGAGAGGTAGAAGTCAGTCTAGATCAGCGGTTCTCAACTTGTGGGTCGCGACCCCTTTGGCAGTCAAACGACCCTTTCACAGGGGTTGCCTAAGACCATCCTGCATATCAGATATTTACATTACGATTCATAACAATAGCAACATTACAGTTATGAAGTAGCAACAAAAATAATTTTATGGTTGGGTCACAACATGAGGAACTGTATTTAAAGGGCCAGAAGGTTGAGAACCACTGGTCTAGATTAATAGAATTTATAGTTCAATCATGATGAATTTAAAAAATACATTTTTCTTTCAATAATTACTTTATGTTCTAAATGAGGTAAAATTTATAAAACACGCACTAAAGTAATGTTGAGGGCACTCTGGTGATAATAGGGATGAGGTTTATTTTTGTCAAAACGTCAGAGGGATACGTTAATTGCGGTTGGTCAACTGTGAACTTCACACTACACTGTCCAAGGTTAGAAGATTAATGGGTACCTCTCCCCATTAGAGAATCCTCACACACACACACACTCACTTACAAACGCCAAACTCAACAAATATAGAACTGACATGTCTTTCAATCAAAGATTCGCTTAGGACCTCACTGATGGGTCTTTTGAGTCACCCTCGATCGGGGTGACTCGAGACACAACCTCCCCAGCCTGTCTCATTTTAGAAACCCTTGGGTGCACTCACATTTGCCCGGGCTCACACCCATATGTGAATGAATCAAGCTTAAAAGCATTAGATATTACTGGCATTTGCCATCAAAATAAATAAGAGAAGTGAGCTGTTCTTTATATCTAAAAACAGCCAAAAGTTGCTGACAACATTTAAAGGGAATGGTTTGAACTTGAGCACCATGAGCTGGGATGAAAGCGCATCTCTGTCGCCGTGGACTGGATGCGGTTAGGAAGCTGGCGTGACAAGTCTGAGGCCTTGTCGATTTCTGCTCCACGAACAGAAGCTGTGCTGTAATTTCAGAACAACGGGACACAGAGCAAGCGAAGCAAAACTGTGAAGTGTTTCTTCTTAGGTGGATGTCCCCGAGGCGGGGATGGGGGTGCTGGGGGCTGCGGGAGTGCTTTTTGGTAGCGGAAATCCAAGTCCCAATCCCTTTGGCCTCTGCATGGCTTGAATGGGCTCGGCCAGCCCCTTGCCATCGCGTCCGAGGCCCGAACCAGGTGTCCAGCCCATGTTCTGGAGCATGCGGTTCCCTATGTTGTTTTCTGAGATGGGCTGGGCGTTTTCTCCGACGAATCCTGAAAATGTAAAATGACAAAGGATGTTAGTCCTGACACAGGCAAAGGTCTTCTCGGGCCAAGAAAACCATGTTCTCTTCAGTTTTCTTTCACAGAGGCACCTGGGAGGGAATCTCTTACTTACAAAAAAATAAATAAATGCCTTGTCAAAATACTTCTTTAATACACCTGAAACCTTGTAATTTTATTAACCAACTAGTGGCCCCGTGCACAGATTTGTGTACATTGAAAGGAAATTAATTGGAAAAATATTTTAATTGCTATTCGCCCTTTCTCTATAATAGAAGTGTCTACCAAATTCATGATCCACATGACAGATCGAAACACATGCGTGCAATTGGCACCAGCAAGAGCTTTATATATATAGATAAACTTGCTTAATTAGACCTGCTTTCTGATTTGGCTAAACTTTTTCCAGCTCAGTGAAGCACCCCAACTTCTCTTTCAGGTAATTGTCAGCAGCACAGCAGTAAATATCAACACTAAGCAGATTATTATTGTAGATCATGCAGGGAGAACAAAGGGTGAAATATTTAACTGCAGCAGTGTTTGACTATATCCTGCACAGTGAGAAAACCTGGTCATTTTCAAGGTCCACCATTTCTTCTTTTCAGTCAGGTCAAGTTTTTAAACTTTCTAAATCTCCATTTTCTGGCTAATGAAAAGAAAATAGGATTCCACCGAGTCTTCTATCTACCTACTCCAGAAATTCTGTGAGGATCAAATGAGATGAGGCATGGGAAAATGCTTCACAGACATTTGGTTAAAGTGTAAAATGTTTCCACCTGGCTATAAAGCAAGTCATGTCCCTGAGCTGAAGAAACTCCAAGGAGGCTAGTCGCTAGGGAGAGGAAGCTGGGTGTTGCTATGTGACATCATTACCTGGCACCCACAGCCACTGTTCTTTGCTGGGCTGGACTGTGGGCTGCATTTTGCGCCATGGGGTCTCGGCAGCATCAGCTGCGATTTGGTGGGCTGTTGCTCTGAGGTGGTGGCAGGACCTCCACCCCCACTTGGGGGAAGCTGAGTGTTGCTTTGCGGGCGCCAGGTCTGTGGTGCTGTTTCTCTGTAAATGACCAGTGGGCATCATGGCAGCTCCTGAATTGAGCGTCTGCCCCCTGGTGGTCAGTGCGCGTCATAGTGACCAGTTGGATGGACACTTAGCATATTAGCCTTTGATATATATAGATAGATGTCACCGCAATATGTTCAATAAAAAAGAAAAAAACATTTAAAAAGCCACTACAATTTTATTTTGAAATTATGATTATGGTGGTAACCAAGACAGACCTCCAAGGTCTCGATAACTTTTTACTGAACAGCTACTGACCAGTATTTTCAGTTAAACAGCACGTGAGCATTCTCTCCCATAGCCCTGATGTTTTTAGTGATTGCTACGAATTAATTTATTTCAATGGATAAGTTAAAATCAGATCCGAGGTCTAATGCTGCTCTAGGCTACAAATCTGTTTAATCATATTTTGGATACAAGAGCTTGCAAAATCTCAGGTTTAAAATGTGTTTAATATTTAAGAAAAAAAATAAGGCCAATTCAAAATGTCCCTGCAAAAACTGCTGAAGTGTGATACATTCTGTTCTCAAGTGAAGAGCAAAGGAAAACTGATTCACTATCATGATTTTAAAATGTTGGTATTTCAAAGATAGTGGCCCTGGAGTGCTGTGTTTTCATGTAGGTGGAAAGGAATCCATTCCCTCTCTTTTTAAAAATGCTAGTTTCGCTCCTTAATGAAAATAAAATAAAGCAAAGCATCATCTTGTACTTTGAAGAAAAACAAACAAAAAAGAAATATTAAATGTCTCCAATGCTAAATCTTTCCACATAGAAACACAGACTCATCAAAAAAGCAAAAACAAAACAAAAAAAAGCAATGGCTTTTCCATACAACCTTAAAAAAAAACAAACCACCCAAACCAAACAATAGAGAGATACTTTGATTCTAGAATGAAATATACTGTTGGTTTCCCATCCTTTTTCTTTTTATGAGATTAAGGCATGGGAGGGCACAGCTCAGCCTCTGCTCAGCACACCACCACCACAATTTTCCTTGTCTTTTGCTCCTGGCAGCGCTAAATCCTTTAAGTTCTTCCCTGGAAGGCGCTCCTCCCGCTAGGGCAATTTTAGCAATAACCCTCCGCGTGCTCCCTCCCAACCCGCCTGATGTTGGAGCTCTCGTATCTATTATAGCCCATTCGGTCCTCTCCCCTCACATCTTCCAAAAACCACTGCGGATGGTAATTCACTTGCGTAATTGGCTCAAGAGATGAAAATCTTGTACCGGCCTCTCCTAGCTGCTAATCTGTCCAGCTGACTGCAAGCCTAATTGGCAGCTTGTTTAGTAATTTGGCTCCTAAAGCGTTGTATTGATGTTGGATAAGCAGCCAGTGGAAAGGGGAGGTGACATGCTGCTCCCCGCATCGCCTCGTGAGCCTGCTTCTGTCCCTGCCCTGGGCTCAGAAGGTGTTCCGTGGTCCACATGCACTACCTCCCCATCCTTCCCCCGCACTTGACTAGCCAGCCCAGGGCCAGGGCTATTGTTATTACTAGTGATGTTATTAAACTATTAAGTTATAATACTGCCTGTAGTTCTCAGTAACTAACTTAGGATCATAGGTTTTGATTACTGTTTAAGAAAGAAAAGAAGCAGCATTAAGTACAGAAAGTGGTAGGTGTTACTACTCTCTGTCAAATATTTTTATTATTTCATTTAAAAAGAAATTATGAACCTGGTTCACCGTTTGATGCTCAACCACTGACCCACACCGGCTGGGCTGTTCAGGGTGACTTTTAATAAAAAGTGCACTGTTTAAAAATCTTCAGCCATTACTATAATTTACAACCTGCCTTTTGTGCCTTAAGTATTCAGGAAGGTTATTTTGTTACTAAAAGGCCTGGTGCACGAAATTTCTTGTACTGGGGCGGGGGGGCAGGCAGGGGTCCTTCAGCTCCGCCTGCATCCTCTTGCAGTCCAGGACCCCTTGTTCCTTACTGCTCACCTGCTCGCTGCTCCTCAGCAAGAGCAATGACCACCAGGGGGCAGCTCCTGCGTTGAGCGTCTGCCCCCTGGTGGTCAGTACGCATCATAGTGACTGGTTGTTCCTCCATTCGGTCAATTTGCATATTGGTCTTTTATTATATAAGACAGTGGTTCTCAACCTTGGCTGCACATTAGAATCACCTGGGAATCTTTTTAAAATCCTGATTTCTGGGCCTAAGAACGAAATAAACTGACAAACAAAATAGATCCAGAGACATGGAGGCATACAACAGACTGACAAATCTCAGAGGGAAGTGGGGGGCGGGAGGAGATTAAACAGGGAACTTGTATGCATAGATGCATAACCCATGGACACAGACAATAGTGTGGTGGAGGCCTGTGGAGGGCCCCAGAGTGAGGTACAAGGGGGCGAATGGGTGAAAAGGGGACATCTGTAACTTTCAACAATAAGGAGAAAGTGAAAGCAAACACTGTTACATTGGAGCAATTTATATAATTTTGTATAATTTAAAATGTACAGAAAAAAGGTGGACTCCTCTGGTGACTATTTTCCCTATGATATTATTTCACTAGAAATCAAAATAGTAACAGCAGAAACTCATTTTGGATAACAATGAATTTAGTAATGTATAGTGGACAAAACATTTAAAAAAGGTAATTGCCATAATAGTAATAAGCATATTTACATCTTTTAATTTTCATATCCTCCATAAGCTGTGACTTCCACCACAAACACAGACCATAACCAACATTGCTGACTGCCTTTTAAAAATGCGTTAATAATATTCCTCCTATTTTGTTCACGGCTTTTCTTCACCTTTACAGATGACATTTTTCAAACAATAAAATGCATTCTGCTGGCAAGCCTTCTTGCTTCAACAGTTCTCAATTTTAGAATAGTAACTCTCCATCCTTGCTGCGGCGACACCCACTGTCTCTGCCTATGTGACTTTGAATGAGGCAGGGAACAAGCCATACATTTAAAAAAATCAATATCCAACCTTATCAATATTCATTTTACTTTGTCAATACAAACTACAAAGGTGAAGGAGCAGTAAATAAGCTAAAGCACTGAAATAAACTTGGTGTTCCTGTCACAATTAATAAATGTTCAAGCGATAATGCTGCTGGCTAGTGCACAGCCTTATGAAGCGATGAAACTTACGCTTCATGCTGGTGCTAAGATGGGGTGGGTACAATTTTCAACACAGTAAGCAGGTAAAGATGATCACATTTTGGGTTATTAATTTCATAAAAGACTTGTTAAGTCTTTTTAAAAAATAATATTTATTATGTATATAACATACCACTTTATATTTAGGGTCCTAAATTATTGTATTAACTCAGTTTGGATTTATAAAGTGAATGCACCTAATTTCCTGACAGTTCTTTTGGTAAATCTTTTCTTAACCTGCTGTTTGACTGCATAATAGTTCACATGTAAATCAGAGGGGATCATTAAACAATGTTCAAGCTGTCAGGCTTTTAGCTCTTCTTCCATATTATAAATGAGGTGATCTTCACCTGCATTTTTCCAGCTCAGATGGAATGTTGACTAAAGGCAGGAATTGTGAAAATATATCTCAATTCAGTGTGTTTTTTGAGAGGTCTACAAAGGGTCTATAAAAAGGTGAAAAAAGTCTCTTTAACTCTCTACCTGCTAACTCAACTTTGGAAGCTGACAGATATAACTGACTCCTTATTATGTGACTAACTATATTCCAGAATTTGAAAATGACAATTTCAGAGACAAGACAATCTAGAATTCACGACCTCATTATCAAAGTGTATTTATGCAAAAGCATTTCTTACTTGATTCGAATAATAGTCTTCACCTTGGAGTTGATTCATTAATATTGGAAGAAATTCTTTTAGAAACTGAGATCTTTTAAATGACCTCACTCTCCTCCTCTTGGAGAGGAACTGGTGTGCTTGGATTTGAGACTGTTCTGGATATGAGTGACACAATTCTCCTACGTCACTGCTTTTTCAATAATCATAAAAAGTTTTATGAGTTTTATTCTTGAAGGAAATTTGAAGGAAAAAAAAATCTAGTAATATAATAAAAATCCAGAATCTTAAGAAAATCACAGCACTTTAGTGGTATAACATCTGGAATATGCTGGTGTGAGCTTCTAAATGTTTTAGGCTAAAGTTTAATGTTTGGAATTATAAAGTGAAAGTGCCTAATTTTCTGACAATTTTCAACACATACTCCTTATAAGTGGTTCCCTCTGGCACTATTGAATTGTAACGTCAGAACCACCTCGCAGAAATAATTATACCACCCTCCTCGACCATTCTGCATTTTCCTTCTCCCTGCACATGTGTTGAGAGAGTGAGGGCCTGATCCAGCTGTTGTCTGCTCCTGATTGCTGGCATGAAGGTGCTGCACTCCCATTCCTACGCTTGTTCTGTCTCTGCCACTAATGTCTGAATCACTGAAAGACAAGAGAATTCAGGGGACCATTCAATGGAACAAGGGCATTAAGAAGCCTACACCTGCCTATGAGAGATTTGAACTCAAGAACTTATAACATGTTATTTGATCTGAAAGTGGCTATATGTTCCCACATAAAGAGATGTATTACAAGTGCTCTAATTAATATTCTGTATCTTTGCATAGCAATATTTAGATGAATCTTCTATGAAACTTACGATATGTAATAGTGTTCAAGTAAGCATATGCAATGAGATAGACTTCACAGATATAGTCTTACAAAAAGGTCTTGAGTAAGTTGTCATAGAAAGAACATGGGTTTAGGGGTCATGCAGGTGTGGGCTCGAAACCTCCCTTTGCCATCAATATTATACATAGAGAATATCCTCACACTTCTGTGATTTTTAATTTTGTGGTATAAAGTGATGATAATGACCAGCTCATAAAGTAGTTGTAAAGATAAAATGAAATAGTGAAGTTTCTGGTACAGAGTAGGTATCCAGTAAGTAATAAATACTATTCTACATCAAAAGAAACACATTCTACACACAAGTGTTTCTAATGTCCATTTTCTGAAAATTCAATACAACTAGAAGATCAGATGTTATAACCACAGGCATAATTTCAGAATGTAGCCTTTTATATGGATGAGGATACTGGATGAGTGCTCTAATTTTAAATTACTCTTCCATTTTTTTTTAATTTTTTTTTGGGTGCTGAACTATGGGATAGGTCCCCTAAATAGAATTTAAGCTTCACATCTTTCCTCCCGCCCCCAATCCCCACATTAAGATTATATATGTGTGTGTATACATATGTGTGTATGTATATTATATATATTTATTTATTTTCCCTTCTCACTGCTTACTCTGCTATTCACATGAATATTATTTTCATAGTCTATAATTGTGAGAAAAAAAAATAACGTTTCCTACAAAGGGTTTCCCAGATGAAGTTAAGAGAATGTTTATAAATCTGGATGGTTAAGGACTCCATGCAAGAGAACAAGGCTGTTAGTCTTTGTAATTGACCGAGTATCTGCGCTGAAAACGTTTTCTCATGGTCATCTGGCTGCATCACGTGCATGCAACTGCTGTTTATTCCTATGTGGGCGTCCACTTCTTCATGCCCAGTGGGCTCTCCCTTATTCCTGGTCCCCCCATCTCTGCCTCCCTTACCATTGCTCTTGCGTGAGGTTTCTGCAGTACATGCTAATCTATTCATCTCCCTCAACCACGCTGGAGTCATTACCCCTCTAGAAAGGCTCCCTGTCCCCTCTGGTCCAGTGACTTCTCTCTGTCAGCACTTGTGGTTTCCCTGTGCCACACTCATTAGCATGACATGCTCTTCCAGTGACATGGCTCTTGAGGTGGAAATGCTGAGGGATGTTTTATTCTGATGTGAACGTTGTCTAATAAGGAACGACAACTCTGGGACTAGACACCAGACGGCCCCAGTCACGGCCAGCTTCTCATCTACTTGATTTGGAGGCTGAGCTTAAACTTATATATATTTTATTTCAGAGATGAAGGGAAAGGAGAGATAGAAACATCAATGATAAGAGAGAATCATTGATTAGCTGCCTCCTGCACACCCGCCACTGGGGATTGAGCCAGCAACCCTGGCATGTGCCTGACCAGGAATCGAACCGTGACTTTCTGGTTCATAGGTCAACGCTCAACTACCAAGCCATGCAGCTAGGTGAGCCTAAACTTTTGCGTTTATTACTATTAATCTCTTCTGTGCTTATTTACCTTTTATGCCTCACCCCTCTACCCCCGCCAACAAATCTACACTCCTTGAGGCCAAAGACACAGCCTTTGAAGATTCTGTGCCCTTTAATACCTCTCACAAAGCCTTCATTGGGGCAGGTGGAGAGTGAATACTTCATTGGTGGGCTGCCTAAAACCTCTACAGAAGCAACGTGCATCCATCTCTACACCAAATGCAAACGATGTAACAGTTGCTGGCAACCGTGCCTCTTCTTAGGCGCAGTGATGAAGAATGATCACTATTTTATTCTTGATGACTCATGAACCTCACACGTGTGCTCTGCCCCCTTCCTTTTACCTGTTGTAGGAGGTCCAGGCAAGGGTGCTGCCTTCCTTCTCCGTTTGACATCTCCCATGCACAAGGATCCTAAATGCATACTGGTTTGCCTACGGGCAATTATCAGAAAAAACAAACAAACTATTAACAATGGAGAAAAAGCATGATACACAAACACACAGCTTGTACAATCTGAACCTAAATCCAAAGGTTCTCAACCAAGATGGAGCGGCATCGTAAAACCACCAATCTTGTTTATATCGAAACATAATTACGTTTGTTGACAAGCGTTCAGCAGCTAAATGCGCCACCATAAATTGTTACTGGAATGAATAATATAAAAGGAATGCTTTTTAATTTTCAAAACTGGCAATCTTTCTGGCTCAACATAAAATCAAGCGCTGTGGCTTCTGACAGGAAAATAGCTAAGATTAATTATCTAAAGAGATCACAATATTGTTGCTAGGTTATCAATTGGTTACTAATGCTTTACTGTCAGAACAACATTTATTACAGGAAAAGTATGATCAATTTCTTTGAGGATATTATGCGGCAGCAAATTCTCTTAAAACATTTTCAATAGGAAGAAGAAAACAGCGATGCTCTCCCTTATAATTCATATGATTAGAATTCCTCAGTTAATTACCAGTTAGGTGAAGCAACATCCTGGGAATGCATTAATGCCGGTCTGCTGCTCCTGAACAGACTAATGGGGTATTGGATCATATTCGTAAAGACACAGCATATGAGAACCTTCTGCTATTCTTGGATCTAGTTAGAGTTAGATTATTCTGCCTCATCGTGGGTTCTTGAATTAAACAGATTTGGGGAAATTAGAAATCGCCCATTGGAAACCAAGACAAAGTATTACAAACATGGAAAGGACGTAAAGGTCTTCAGATTCTTCAGGCTACAGAGGGACCCTGTCCACTTCCTGGATCTTAGTCCCTGACATTGGTTGAGCCCGTGTCTGGTGGTCATGAAGCAGAAATAAACGAAGCGTGTCATTTATGGGAGTACACGCTCTTTTAGTAATTCACAGAGATATGTAGTAGTAGCTTCAAGTCTTATAGAACCCAATTTGAAAACATCCAGCTTATTAGAGAAAAACTTAAAAGCAAAATATCAATTAAGAACCCAAATATGTGGTTATGCAGATGCACTCAGGTGTTTAAATATTATGAAACCTTGGGAGTTGTGGAATAAAATTAAATATAAGTTCTATCCATAAGGCACAAAGTAAAGTATAATTAACGATCAGCTAATTCAAGGGGCTATACACAACCAAAGAAATACACCAGTACAGGATGCAAATGGGTATTTCTCTTGCCATTATTTGGAGTGCATAGTGTTTCCCTGTTACAGAATAATTAAATACAATTATTTAAATATTTTTAAGCCCTAGCTGGTTTGGCTCAGTGGATAGTTTGAAAACTTAGTTCATTCAGTTAATGACTAACTTTGCAGAAATATATTTATCACACATATATGTCAAAGTGTTCATTAACATGCATAACTAACATTTTTATTGGCTTTTGTGGTGTGCTCTATGGCTCACAGAGACAAGGAAAATCAATGGTTATGATCACATCTACTTTTAAAATTAAAAAAATAGAAATTTAAAATAAAATTACAACATCAGAGAAGCATAGAAATAAAAAATTAAAGTACCAGAAAAGACACATCCTTTTTATCCAAAAGTAATGAGTTCACTGATTCAGCAAGTATTAGTATCTACTCCTGACTCAGCATAAGACCCCATAGTGGTAGTGAAAATGCGGAGAGCAGGAGAGAGAGAGGGTACAGGAGATACCAGAGAAGGAAATGTTCAAGTCCTATTGGGAGAGTTTCAAGTCTGAGCAGGGAGACAAAGTCATAGGGTCTGGAGTAATTAGGGACAGTGGTGGCAATGGCAGGCAAAAACCAACATTATTAACAATTGCCAGAGATTTTACTTTTAGTCTTTACATAACAGGTTGCATTTAATGTGCCTTTTTTCCTTTGGTTGGGAGAAAAATCTGTGCTTCCATGGAAAACTATGCTTTTAGAAGATACCCTTGCAGTCATGGGCAATTTCTTCTCAACTCCAAGTTAGAGAAAACAGAAAGCAAAGGAAACCCATTCTTTCTAGAACCTGAAGACCTGAGCCATGAGACCAGCTCGCTGTAGTCCAGGAATTGTCAGGAACTGGCTCCCTGCTCCAGCGGGGAGGGATCCGGACTATGGATTGGGAAGATTCCCCCTTTTAGGCTTGTCCCCCCCCGTGCGCCCCCCCTTTTCCCTTCCAGCGGTTCTCAACCTGTGGGTCACGACCCCTTTGGCGGTTGAACGACCCTTTCACAGGGGTCGCCTAAGACCATCCTGCATATCAGATATTTACATTACCATTCATAACAGTAGCAACATTACAGTTATGAAGTAGCAACGAAAATAATTTTATGGTTGGGTCACAACATGAGGAACTGTATTTGAAAGGCCAGAAGGTTGAGAACCGCTGCCTTAGACAGTGCAGTGGAGTTGCTACAAACAATACCAAGGAAGGTCTACCCTGTCATTTAGTTCTTACTCTTTATGTAAAACATAGCAGTCATTATTTAATTTAAAATCAGTGGATGTCTCAGAGGCGGCCGTGTTGCTTTGGTCTAAATGAGTCGTTGGCCTTTGCAAAGCTGAGCACTTGGGTTATGAGTGGAGGCGAGAGTTGGCCATTTCTGTGTTTCTGTTTGGCTGTGGTGCTCTGAAAAATGACAGTGCCTTGTCCTACGAACAGACCCAAAGTTACTAAAGGATAACGTTTAAGACCCTTTTGTAAGACACCATATGGAAATGAACAGTCAACCCTATCCGTGTACTTATTCAGAGGACTGGCTTACGATGGAAAAGCGGGTAGTAGACCAATCAAAGCCTGATGATTCGGTATCTAATGACGCCTTCCACACTGGGGGTCACAGACACAGTATTTAAGCGGAGAGGCTACAGGAAGAATGCTGTCTCGTTATTCATAAGCACTAGCACGTAGTTATGACCTGAACCACAGTTTCCCATACACTGATTGTTAAATTTCCTACTAAACAGTAGAAAAGCAGAGCTCACAAAGAAGTCACTTTTTTTTTCTTTTGAAACAGACTTCACTCACATATCCTATCATCCCTTTAGATAGTGCGGTGGTGGGAAACGGGGCGTGTTGTCCAAAAGAAAAAATAATAATAACAACTCAGAAAACAAGAGGCAGAAGGAGAAAATCCCAGGGAGAACTCCCTCGCCTGGAACCTGGCTTCTGACCTGGGCTCTGAGGACGGACGCAGCGTGTCAGACACAGTAGCATGAAAGAGGAGACCATCGGAGCGTGTCTCTCCAGCCTAGTGTTTACAAATAGAGGCTTTTCAGGGAATGAGGCCCAGTTAAAGCTGCCCCCTGGATAGAACGTGTTCCCAAGCAGCCCCGACAAGCTGCAGAGGAGAGACAAGCAGCTGTGACTACGGGGCCCGGCATCTGGCAACAACACTCACTGTCAGTTAGAAAAATATCAGCCCGGACAGGGCGCCAGCTGCACAGAAGTGAGCTAGGGCCACTGTGTCACTGCGGGGGCCATGGGGGCAGAGGGGAGGGTGGGGGCTGGGCGATCCAGCCTGTGCAGATGTTCTCTTTCTTAATTCCTAGGATCGCATCAAGTCCTTGTCTTTCCTGGTATTTGCTCTCAAAGCCCCTTCTTGTGCATGAAGAACCCTTTGCGTTTGGTGGTGTCCGTCACACCCTGACCAGGTCTGGGTCCTGGGGCCTTTTCTCTCTCTGGCTGTGGCCACTGGACTTAACCACCCTGCCTCAGCCCATGCCCCATCCCTTCAGAACGACCCAGACTTGACGAAGGGCACTGAACTCGGGCCTAGTGGCCCGTCACTGGGCCCCTCGCTCTATTCCAACCTTCCCCTTTCTTGTCACACCTTTCTGTGTGGTGGCCTTCTGTGAGAGTGTTCTTTATGCCTCCCATTGTTACTGGATTTTATTTTACCATGAGCATGCAGCAACAACAACAAGAGATACAAATCATGGCCAGGTGAATTAGAAAACAGCAAAAAACGCAAGTTAAAATGAGGTAAATTAGAAAATAGCACACAATGGAAGTAATAAAAGCAAGTGGTTAGGGCAGCTGAAGGGATTTTGTGGTCAAAGGCACGATCAGATGGTCCACGCGTGGAGGCTGGGGTGTGAGTTCAGCTGTGGGTTCCGTGGCCTCATGTGCATGTGGGATGAGTCAGGGAGTCAGAACTTGTCCCCCCCCCCCCCCACCCCGTCACCATTTCTGCTTCCCCAACTAGGTCTCAGAAAAACCCAACCTGTCCCCATTTTTGTCCATGTGGGAGGACGTTTACCCCTCAGTGGCGCGAGGGACTCTCTTTCTCTCCATTTCCTTACCTTCCAGAACTGTGATAAGACCAGGACTCATCCCAAAGGTCTTTCTGAAGATTTTACTTAGAAACCGTTTGTGTAGAACATTTGCACACTAGAAGCAATGCTAGCTGCACATCTTACTAATGTTACCATCTCCACTTTACAGATCAGAAGCCCAGGGCCCAGGGAAGTGAAATCCCTTACCCAGGCTCCCTCGGTTAAGGGGGACTGATGAAGGGCACTTGGTGGGGTAACAGGGCAGGCGCTTGGCTCATGTAGGGTGTCACGGAACACCCACCGGATAAACGCGGCCATTACATTTCACAGCCATTACATTTCAACGCTATCAATATGCTATCATAAGGCTATAATGAGGGTCATTTCTAAATCACAAGTAGGTATGTTTTGGTAGCTAGTAGAAATTTTAAATTTTTCTTTAATGTTCGGTTGGGCTTGCTTTAAATGTGTCAGAGCGTATATGAGTAAAGCACTTATTTTCATTTCAAAAACCCAGTAATAGCCCCAGAGAGGCTCACAACTCTGAAACCCATCGACTGGCTCTGTCCGTCCATCGCTGCGAGTTTTCTCTTGGCCTCCACTTGGTACTTCCTACATCGACAGTGTCTTGCTTCTCCGCTGGGCTGACTTCCAAGCTTAATCGGAGGCCCCGAGGGTCAGCTGGCCTACGATGTCATTCCTCGCCTGTGACAATAAGCAGACG